CTCTCTCTCTCTCTCTCTCTCTCTCTCTGATGTTAGCCGTGCGTCTCAGCTCTATGCCATATTCAAGAAATCGTCCAGAAAATTATATAAATATAAAAAATGCGAGAAACTTAAAAATCAGAATGATATTCAAAACCCTGACATTTTCCTGTGTAAGCGACCTTGACTTTTAGACGCTCAAGCGATGAATTATTTTCACTTTTGTCTTTCCACCTTATATGGCCTCCTCGCCTGCTGGAAGATGGCCGTGGAGAGTGTCGATTTATCCTAATTTGTCCCCTGTGTTGTACTGCTGTTCTACGTGTCGAGGGGAAGTTTTTGCCTCACACACACACACGCGCGCGCGCGCGCACTCACCAAGCGCCTGATGGAAGGAAACTGACCTGAACTGATTGCTCAAGCTCGCACGAAAACGAAATCTGAAAACCGTGACGTGGCTCCTTCGTGACCAAGTGATCTAAACCCCGATTCTAATTCGATTTATCAGAATAATCGCCCAGATAGACGCACACGGACAGATGGATACACACGGATCAAACTTACCCATCTAAACCTACCGATTGCACAATACCTTCGGAGAAACAAGGACGCTGCCGTAGACGATAAGGAACCGATGGATACTGCACTGGTCATTGTCTGTTCGGCGAGGCGCTCTCTGGGTGGAGAACAAGGAACCTCGCTTTAATGGCTCCCCCTCCAGGCACGCAGACACGCTGGCTGTCGAAGCACCTGTGGAAAAATGCACTTGTAAGATCACTTGTCTGCTGCGGAGGGACAGGACAAAAGCGTGGAGCGTCCTGCTGTGTAAAGAGAGGGAGGATTATGGCGCGAAAATGGATGCAGGTGTATGTTTAGTGCACTAAAGGGACTTAATTCGAAAAAAGGACATTCCCATATCTATTAGCAAGGTATACTGCATTAAAGAGAGATCGGAGACAAGTGTTCCTTAATGTGAACATGACTCGAGGTGCAAGCAGATCCATTCGTATATAAAAGATACAACGTAAATGAAGCCTTGCTAATTTTCATAAAAAATGCGAGCTGCACACAAGCCCGGGGAGACGTGTTTTAGTATTCCGCTTCCAGACGAAAAGGTTAAACCAAAAGAATTCGTTCAACCTCGCCCAAGATCCGCATGTCTCTCCCCCCCCCTTCCCCCCACCCTCCCTCCCGCCTCTCTTTATCTAACAGACAGACGCGCGTAAAATGCTGTTCACATCCACGTGAACAACTGAAGGCGAATACCGCATACGTTGTAAGTTCACTGGACAGGTGATTGCATTGTTATATAACAGAGTTTTGGGAAAAGGCGAAGAGGCTGGACAGGCCGGGCAGAGCCGTCAGCGGCGTTAAAAGCCTCAGGTGATGGTAAGTATTCGCTACAAATATTGCTAAGACGCAGTGAGCACAAGCGAAGCCTCAGGGGAGTGGCCGCTCAAGCAACTCAAAAACACGGATGTACCTCCTCTTATTTGGATAGCGAACGGCTGATAAATTAGACGGTTTCACTCACAGATGCGGACACCACGGATGAAGAGTCTCCGCGAAAAAACTCAAACTCATTTCGAAACGGGTTGCCGGCCACATGTTTTATTCACACGTTAATCCTATTTCTTATTTTTTTCCTTTTTTGTAAATTGAACAGATCCTGTTGCTTATTCTGGATAAAAGATTATGCCAGTAAATATCAACTCACACGGGAGGATACAGGTTGATTCGGGTGGAAATTGTAAACACTGGATACGCAACTTTTTTCTCTTTGCAAGGGAAAAAATAGTCTAAGTTGGCAGTTCCCAAATTGTTGAAGTTAAAACGACTCAAGGCTTATCAGAAGTGAATGTTTTCAACGAACAAGTTTTTTGTTTTCACTCTTTATGGAAATTCGTATCGAAAGTAAAGTTCGCAGAAGTGACAACCGAGCCATTGATTCCCACGTCGGAAACACCTGGAGGCGCAAAGGCTCCACTTCTGTAGCTTGTTTCGAATCCCGCTGCTTGTGGTTCCTCCACAAAGGGCTTCACTGTACGCAGTCAATAGATGTGTTCCTGGTGAATGCATTATTAGCTCAATATACAAGACAATGTTTGATAGTCAAGAAAAAGTCAGTGTTAAAACCAGAGGCAGTGCTCGATCACTACCTCTTGCGGCGTTGAAGTCGCCAATACTCACGTCGACGGCGTCTTTCAGGTGTATCGCGCGCACTCACTGGCCGCCTCGTCTTTCTCTTTTGTAACTAGATAAAAGCACAGAAGTGCCTCGGCCGGACACTGATCCACACACCGCAGCAGAGGAGCGGCAGGCGGGTAAAGCTAAACTTAAGGGTTCCAACACAGGGCAGAAGACAGCACCAAGGCTCAACACACTATATAAGACGAAAAGACCGCGTGGCTGAGTCAGCAGAGGCTGACCTCGGACTCGGCAAGCAGTTCCGAGACAACCTTCCACCACCGCGCCACGCGACTGACTGACTGCTCACGGCGGTGACGCGAGGTTGAGAACAAACCAGTGGCGACCCACTTCCAACCCCTCCCTCCCCGCCCCCTCCCGCCCCTCCAACACACCCCTCCCCTCGCCCCCATCCTCCTCCGTCTCCTCCTCCTCCTTACAGCCGTCTCCCGTGCCTAGCGACTCACTCCTCTTCCTCCACCTCCTCCTTCTCCCTCCCTCCGCCTTCGAGTACCGGTCACTACACTCTCTTCTCGTTTCTCCGTCATGCACACGAGGAAATGGAAGCAGGCAGAGCAGGAGGTGTATGTGGGACGCCGCTGCTCTCACATACCGACTGAAGAAAGTTGCGAGAAAGTCAGCGAGACGGCCCACACAGCCGAGTCTCTGACCCACATACCAGCCAACCGAACTGCTCCATTTCACCTGCAGAACCAAGGAAAAGAAACTTGCCACGCTGAGGTGCATTTCACATTATCCTCAGGAATAATTAAGCACACCTTTCTTCCTGCTGCTCTTCACTCCCTCTCCCCCATCCTCTCCCTACCCCTTCCTCCGACTCACCATGACGTCGCGACGAAAGAGCAGGTAGGGACGGGGGGGGGGGGGGAGCCTCACCGTTACCCACGAGGGACGTGAGCGATGTCAGCTGACACCACCGTCACTGACAACACCACTGCCATCGCAGCCGCCGCTGGGAAGTAGAACAAAGCGCCTGCGGGTTTCCCCTAATTAGACACGAGCACCTTTCTCTGTGCCCCTTCTGCGCGGCTCGAGCGATCCCTGCCTGACGCTGCATGACGCTGGTACGGCGCCGCGCCCAAGGAGCTTCGGTACAATTAACCCGGAAATGGGTTTTCTGGAGGGAGGAAAGGAGGGGGGGAGAGGCGCGGGGGTCGCTCTCCTTCCCTGTCCGGCGATTTCGCCCTAAACACTCTATGGCTAATCCGCCTTCGGCTTTTCCTCGCTAGACGCCGAGGAAACTCGATTCCTCCACGGAGATCCGCGACGGCATGACCTGGAAGCAGACTGGGCCACGAGGCTCGGGGAAAAGTACTGACACATTTCTCACAATGGCTGGATACTTTCTTCTCCAAACAGGAATGTGCTAAAAATAAGAAATAAAAAGACCAGTAAATACCCGGATGCACACGCATTCAAAATAGACACAAATAATAATAATGATGATAATAGAAACAATAATATATATATATATATATATATATATATATATATATAATATATATATATATATATATATATAAACGTCTTAACAATATCTCTGGAAAAGGGAAGTGAGGAAAAACCAAGGAACGGCAATCGGCGCCAGGCAGCCACGGCAAGGGTTGTGCCGATGCGGCGGAAGGAGTGTGGCGCGAATGCTGTGGAGGAACTTGAGTAATTAAACGTAATGGAACAGCTGTGGTGGGGACAACCGTTATAGGTGGAGGTGACGGGGTTGGAAGGGGGGGGCAGGGAAGGGGGAGAGGAAGAACTGGAGGAGGAGGGCAGGGGATATGGGGAAGGAGGAGTGGTCGCCCTGCCCTGCCCTCGATCATGACACAATAACTGACTTGTCTTGCCCGATGAGGCTCCGAGGTGTCTACTGCACTCATTCATCTGGAGGCCATTTGTATCGCTCACTGCCTCTGGTGCTCTCTCTCTCCGAGTTTAACCGATTTATTTTTATCAAGATTATTCGACGAGTGAGTAAACTAGTTTGTACTTTTTCAGGCGCTGGAAATTGGTAAAAGCTGTAAATGCAGAGAGTGATTGCAAAATAAAAAATATATACATTTGACAGTTACTTCATGAGAACTGGTTAAACAGGTACATAAATAAATTGTACATCTTACTAGTGAAGGATTACTAATCACATCTGGAAAAAGTTCCATATTCTTATCGCTAAGAAAAAAGAAACCAAATATCTGAAACCCATTAGAAATATAAATTCAAAGCGTTCATAGAATGAAAAAGAAAGAGAGAGAAAAGAGAAAAAGAGAGAAAGAGGGAGAAAAAAGAAAAATAAACAGTCGAACATGAAGATCCATACAAACGCTAGAGACAAGGTCGAAAACAGAGAGAAAGAAAAGAGTAAGGAAGAGAAAGAGAGAAACGAGAAAAAGAATCAAAGGAAAGAGGAAGAAGAAATAGGAAGAGTGCCAAGGAGGAAGGAGGAGTAGAATGCCGAGGGACTTGACCGACAGGGACCAGGGATCAAGGGGGGGAGAAGGAGGTGGGGCCGGGGGAGGGGAGGAGGGTCAGGGGAAGTGTGTCAGTGCCGACCTCGTGACCCACATCCCACTGCGACGAGGTTTCTCTTGGACCCAAACACCCTGCTGGACCTCCCGTGTGCCTTAGATTCTCATTCTCTCTCTCTCTCTCTCTCTCTCTCTCTCTCTCTCTCTCTCTCTCTCTCTCTCTCTCTCTCTCTCTCTCTCTTGTCTCTGTCTCTTCTTTTCTCTCCTCTACTCTCTCTCTCTCTTGTTTCTATGTCTCTTCTTTTCTCTTCTCTACTCTATCTCTCTCTCTCTTGTCTATAAATCTCTTCTTTTCTCTTCTTTACTCTCTCGCTTTCTCGTACGTTCTCTCTCGTAATTTCTCTTATATCACTTCATTTACGTAGATCTTGCGTTTTTAAGAAATTCCCCCTCCCCTCTCACTCCCCCTTCTCTCTTGCATCTTGCTTTCACAACGAAATCTCGGTTGCATATCCGCCTAACGGGACGCGTAATCGAGATAAGCCTCCCTCATCAACAAATGTTATGTCATGCGTGTTGAATATTCACTCCATCGTCTCTTAGTGATAGAGATCTGCGGTTAGTCATTCTCGCCCGTGAGAATTTTCTTTTTGTAATATCATCTACTATGTTACCTTTCGTGATGGTCTAATGTAGAGGAAACAAAGCTTGTTTGGATAATCTATTAATATGGTTCAATACTTTTTAAATCTTACCGTCGGTTGTATTCATTACCATAATCAGCGTAACAGAACTTCCCGGTAGTGTGGAGTATGGGTCAGATATCAGGAAAATAGGCCAAGGCAATTACGAACACAGCTCAGGCAATTATCCAAGCACGGTCTTCATCTCCGCTCCCCCTAGTGATGTACCGTTCGCATTTCATCTTCCCTTTAAACCGTAAACGCACCACAACCACGCCGTAAAACGCAGGGAATCTAAATCCCAAAACATTATAAGAGCACAATAAACCTGTAAGAAAACGCGAGAGAAAACAGGCGTAGCGCGTGAGGAAGGCGCCAGCGAGGACGAGGGCGGTGACCCTTGGGAACACAGGCTGTCACTTCCTTGTAAGACGTTTCACCCAATTATGATATCTCTCCGCCGCGTCCGAGGCGTCCGTGGCGCTCGACTCGGCTGGCTCGGCGTCGGCTTCGAAAGCTCTGTTTTGTGGGGCGTAAAGGCTTCGATATTCCGCTTCGCATCGGATCGTCTTCGCGCGGAAAATATCTCGTAATAACCGCCAGAACATCGGCCGAAAAGACATTCCAAACCTGTAAAAAAGGGGGAGGGAGGGGAGGGGGGAAATGGGGAGGGGGAAAACGATCGGAAGCCAAACCACTCGAGACAGTGAATCGCACAAACCGAACAATCGCGATGGGCGGCGCGGGGAGTGTAGGTCCAACACCAACACAAAGGAAGAGAGAGCCCGCGTTTGTTGTGGGGAAACTCCTCCTCCCACGCCTCCACCTCCTTCTTTTCTTCCTCTTCCATATCTCTTCTTCCTCCTCCTCCTTTGCTCCTACTGCTGTTCTCTTCTAATTCCTCCTCTTCCTCCTCCTCCAATCCACCAGCCTCTTAAAATACACCAGACTTTCTTTTCCTACATTGTAAGAGAGAAACTTTTTTCTCTCTTTTTTTAGAAGCTTTCTCGCTTGTCCAGACATATGAAATCAGATGATATATATATATATATATATATATATATATATATAATATATATATATATATATATATACATGCATATGTGTATATGTATATATATATATATATATATAATATATATATATATATATATATATATATATATATATATATATATACATATATATTATATATAAAGTATATATATATAATATATATATATATATATATAATATATATATATATATATATATATATATACACGCACAATATATAAACATATAAAAAGCACGAGAGCAAAGGCGCGAGAGAGCGCGAGCGGCGAGCGGGAGCCGAAATGAGCTTTCGATGCGACACAGTTCGGCGTCGGTGCTGCTTGGTCGGGTCGCCACAATTAACAGGAAATGGGCGAAGGGCCGACCAGTTCGCGCCGTCACGCCCGCCGCTCTGAACCTGTTCGAGATGCTTCTAGAAGTCTTGTCGTTCCGCGTCTTAATGGCGCTTATGGTTATGTATTTACGCGTTCTTAAGCCCGCGTCGTTCATCATCCCTTCAGCCAGCCGAATAGTCTCGTTTCGTTTGTGAATTATAAAATGAACCTTTCTGTCGTATATCTTTATAAAAAATCTATACCTGGTTATTATCCATTTTTTCAGGTGTAACTTCAGAAACCGGGAAAATTCATTGGGACGGATAAATTCTTGCATCACCCGGCGGAGGCGAGAGGAGGGCGAGGAAGGGGTTGTCTGGGTTCGGTTGGATTCGCGTCCGGGACAAATTCGGAGGTTTAAATCTACCTGGCTGTCTCCCTCCCCTCCCCTTCGCCCTCTCTCTCTCTCTCTCTCTCTCTCTCTCTCTCTCTCTCTCTCTCTCTCCTCTCTCTCTCTCTCTCTCTCTCTCTCTCTCTCTCTCTCTCTCTCTCTCATTTTTCAATATATCTATCGATCTACCTTCCTAAATATCTGTCGATCAATCCATCTAATTGTCTGTCGAGTCCCATTTGGCTATTTCGCTTTGGCAACAAGACACGTGGTCTTGAACACGAATAAAACACTCTTTGGATTTTAACTCACGGAACAATAACTTTCACCTTATGTTTAGCGCATTTAAACGCAAACGTCCCTCCAAAAAAATATTGAGAAGAAAATAATCACCATTAAACATGATAATC